GGTCCCTTACCCACGTGAGCTCATCATTGTCAGTCCCGGATCCTACACATCCTGGCGCTCCGCCTTCGTTGCGAAGCTTCTCGCAGCCGGGCATCACATCGTTGGTTTCCTCTGCTGCGCGATCAGCGTCTTTGATGCTGTTGCCAGATGGGTGCTATACAGGGCTTCCGACGTTCCTCCGCAGACGCGCCCGCATGGATCTAAGCGTGCTTGCTCCTGGCGTTGCAAAGCTGGGCTTTGCACCCTCGCTGCAGCAATTCTGCAGGGCTGGTCTGACTGCCTCTGTCTCTGGCTTAACATGCTTGGGATTCGTTTTCTTGCTGCTCGTTACAGAGAGTACCCGCCTGGGCGTGCCTGTTTCGACCCGGAGCTTCTCCAAACCAGAGCTAGCTGTGCCGATCTCCGGCTATGGTCACGTAGACACTGCCTCGTCCTCGCAGTCGGTCGGTCGCGCTGGCTCCGTTGCTTTGGTGTATAACACTGCTCGGCCAGAGCTTCAGCTACTTCTGCTGGATGACACCTGCTTGGGCTTAACGGTCTTTCTTAGGTCCTTTGCCTGCCCAGGCCTCCCCGTGCCCACTTTTCAGTTTGCTAGATGCGGCTCGTCGTCGCCTCCTCGATCGACGGCCTGTCCTGGCCCTGTTGTTCCAACCACTGGTATAGCTCGGGTCGGCTCCTGCTCCTCATTGTTTGCAGCTGACACGGTTCACCCCGGCGCTTCACCTGCACCGCAAAGTTTTGCGCGCGTAGACAGCTCCCTACCATCGCTGGACCATTCTACGCCGGAGCTCCCTCTGTCACTACGTGGTCTTGGCAAGATTGGCTTAACGTCGCCGGCATCCGGCGTCACACGTGCTGACCTGCTCTCCTTACTTTCAGTCACCGAGACTGCAGCCCTGGGCTCGCTGATGCCAACTCGAGGGCTGTCGTGTTTAGGAACCAACTTGCCAGCCCTGAGCTCTTCCCACGCGGCCTCTGTTTCGTCCTCGCAAAGCTTTATGAGGTCTGGATCCATGGCAACTGCATTTGGCATGTCATGCGTTGGCCTTGTGTTTGCCCTGCTGGTGGTTGACGTGGCGCAGTTGGGATCAGCATTCTTCGCTCGACGTTTCGCCAGGACAGGGCTGGGCATGTCACCCTTGAGTGCGGCATGGCCTGATCCCTCAACGCCGTCACGCAGCCATACACATCTGGATCCTGTGCTTTTGGCATTTCAAGCACATCGCCTGGGTTTTCCCTCGCTCGTGCTGGGTGTGTCGCTTCTGGGTGCAAGTCTACTCTCACGCAGCTTGAGCCGTCCTGATGCGTCCATGCTGCCATTCCAAGCAGCAAGTTTAGAAGCGTTTTCGCTTTTGAGAAGCTTTAGTTGCCTTGGCTCGAGGCTGCTGGTTGTCGGTCTGACCTGCGTGGGCTTTGTCTTCCTTCTGTTTGTGACCGAGACGATGCATGCGGAATCACTGCCGCCTCCACGAAGTTCTGCACACTGCGAGTCATCCGTGCTTGCGTTTTCTCCTATGAGCTTAGGGTCGATGACGCCTCTCAGACACATGGGCTGCCTTGGCCCCGCCTCGTTTGTGTCCGCCTACACTCACATAGGCAGCATGGCGTCGTCGCGGAGCATGGCGAAGATGGGATTCTCAGCTACGGTTCCAGGCTTGGGGCGTCTCGGCTTCGTGTTCTTTTTGTCAGTAATACAAACAACTCGCCTCGGTCCGAGCGCGCTGGCAAGAAGTCTCTCACGACTGGGAACCATGCCACTTGTGCTGAAACTCGCCGGTGCAGAACTAGTGCTGCCAGTGCGATCACCTGCGCAGGCCGGTTTGCCACTTCTGGCTCTGGGCCTTGCCCAGTTCGACTCGCTGTCGACATTGCAGTCTCCTACTAAGTCGGGGCCACTTTTGCCCGTGAGTGGCGTGCTCTGTACAGGCCCTCTATCCTTGCTGTCAGCTACGGACCCCCTACAACCGGGCCTCTTGCTTCCTCCTCACAGTCCCGCGAGCCTGGGCTCTGCCGTGCCAGCCCTGGATTCTCTGCAACTGGGTTCCTTGTCATCATTAAGGTCTCTTGAACGCCCCGGTGTCGCTGCTCCTGTCTTGGACTATGCGATTCCTGGCTCGCCGTCGCTTGTCCGAGGTCCGGCCTGTGCTGACGTTCTCACGTTGGTATCTGGCATGTCATGGTCAGGTCTCGTATCCATTCTGTCAGTCGCAGGTGTAAGTCAGCTTGGTTTGTCGGCAGTGCTACGGTCGCTTGCCAAGGCTGAATCAACAGCGTCTCTGCCAAACCTCGCAAAGATGGATGTGCCATTGATGTTGCACAGTCCTGGATGTTCAAGCATTCCTTTGCCCATCTGCGGAGAGTCTCGGCTTGATCCTACAGCTCTGGTGCTGGACCACATGCATTCTGGTCCCGTCATTTCGTCACACAGCTCCGGGCACTCGGATGTCCCAGTTTCGACGCTGCAGCTCGCGAATTTCGGCTCATTGCTTCCGCTAAGGGGGCTCAGCCATCCTGATCCGATGGTGCTGGCTACAGGGCTGGCGCGTCCTGGGCTTTGTTCCTCGCCTTCAGCTGCAGAGATGGCCCACGTGGAGGTTTCCTTGTTCTTGCATGCACTCGCAAAGCCTGAATCCGAAGCCTCTGCCCTTGCCTTAGCTCACGTCGCCTCCGCCATGCTTCCTCGAAACTCCGTGCGTGCTGGGCTTGCAGCCCCAGCTTGTGGCCTGACTTGCGTTGATCCCACTGCATTTGTGCTAGATGCATGCCAGATCGATTTGTCAGCATTTGCACGATCCCCCGCATAGCTTGACCCGGCTATTCCTGCATTGTCTCTAGCACACTTGGGCTCCTCGCTCCTCTTACGAAGTGCTTGCTGGCTGTCTGCCTCATTGTTAGCCCACGGCATCGCGCGCTCCGGCTTAGTTTCCATGCTGCTAGTAGCTGACAGTGTTCAAACGGAGTCAGCGGTTTCGTCGAGGAGCTCTGTATGTCTCGGCTCATCAGCCTTTGTGTGCGGCACAACTGTCCTGGAGTTGGTCTTGCCGGTGCAGTCTTCAGCGTACGCGGGCTTTGTGGTGCCTGCGTGTGGCCTGTGCCGATCAGAACTCGCTCTTTCGGTTCTGGATGGTGCCACCTCGGGAATCGCCTCGATGTTGCGCAGTTTGGGCCGTTTAGGTTCGCCGCTGCTGGCGTTTAGCCCTGCGCGCTGTGGTTCCTTGCTTCCTTCGCGGCAACTCACTTGAACTAGCTCCGCGGCCTCCACCCATGGCTTGATCAGGCCAGGAAGTGCTTCGCTGACACCGGATGGATCTAGTCTGGAGTCGGTCCTGTTGCCACAAAGCCTTACAAAGACAGAGACGGTTGCACTTGTCATGGGCTACAGTCACTTGGATGCAGCGTTTCCTGTCAAGAGCTTCGCTCGGTTAGGTAGCGTAGCTTCAGCCTTCTGCGCCTCTTCGTTAGAAAGCTTGCTTCTTGTGAGGAGCTCCGTGCAACCAGACCTTGCAGCTTTGGCTTTCGGCATCAGCTGTGTAGAGCCCGTTTTCTCACTGTCGGTAACAGCTGACGTGCACTTAGACCTCTTGGTTCCATTGCGTAGTTTCGCGCGCCTAGAGAGTGTCTTTCTGGTCCTGAACCTTGCAAGACTTGGGGCGCCGCTGTCATTGCGACACGTTGCCTGGTCAGAGAGCTTCTTGTTCACCATGGGATTTAGCCATCTTGCCTTCTGCCTGTCAGCTTGCGACGTCGCGCATTTTGGACTGCCTGTGCTTTTGCAAAGTCTTTCTCACACAGACTTGGCCGCGTTGTCACTGGGTTACAAGTCAGTGGGTCCAGCACCATCCGCCAAGAGCTTCGCACACCTCGGCCTTTCATCGCCTCTCTTTGCTGTTTGCTATGCTGGCTGTACCGGGCAGCTCTCCGTGATCGGCGAGTGCCACATCGCTTCGTCCTTACCACTGCGCAGCGTTGGGCATTTGGCTGTTTCCCTGTTTGCCTCGGGCGTCACCAAACCCGGGCCATTCCTACTGCTGCGGAACTTTGCGCATTTTGGACTTATTCTTCTGGCCTCTGGCGATGCCTGCATCGATTGTGCCTTGTCCACTTTGGATGAAGTCCACATGGGGAGCCTCTTTTTGCCGCGCAGTTTCGCCAGATGTGGCTTTTTGCTGTTAGCACCTGGACTTTCTGGGCTGGCATCTTCGCCGTCTTTGCAGCAGCCCGCTCGTCCGGGCTTCACGGCCTCTCTTGCAAACTGCATGCGTCTGGGACCTTCAATGCCAGTCCCTGATGGGGCTCAATCTGGCCCACCTCCCTTGGTGCAAAGCCTAGTACAACTGGACTCTTGCGTCCCTGCTTTCGACGCTTCCCACACAGAGCCGTCCGCATCGCTCCGAAGCCTCGCCCGGGCAGGATCAGGAGTGCCACCCTCTGGCGCTGCTCGGGTTGAACCTATTTTCTTTATGTTAGTGGTGGATACGGCAAGTACTGGACCGTTCCCGTTGCTGCGTTCTTTCGCAAAGGCCGGTCTGGTTCCGCTGGCATCTGGCTTTGCAAAGGCAGGCAGCTCACTCTCACCGCAAGGACCTGGCAGATCGGGGCCCCAAATGCTTATACTTGGCCTGGCACGCGCCGATCCCCCGATCCTGCCTGTAGACTTTGGTCTTCTGGGCCTCCCAGCACCTCTGCAATCACCCAGCTACCTAGCCACATCACTGCCTGCTTGTGGCGTTGTGACACTTGGGCCATCAGCATTGCCGCATACCTTTGCGCAGTTGGACACACCAGTGTCAACACCCAACCCTGCACGCCCTGAGGCATCCTCGTCTCCGAAAAGCTATGCTTGTACCGAAAGCCTGGTGCTAGCCCTCGGCCTGAGTCGACCTGACTTCATCGCTTTAGTGTCAGAGCATGCAGGGATTGAGGCATCAGTGTCCTTGCGGTCCTTCAGTTAATCGGGTCTTTTGGCACCTGCTCCTGCCTTAGCCCATTCAGGCTTGTCAATGAGCCTGCGCAGCCACGTCCGAGCTGACAGTGCCGTGCTTGTGTGTGGCCTGCTTTGTTTGGGTTTGCGGTTTCTGGCGCTGGACAGCAGTTGCTCAGGACTGCTATTGCTTCTGAGAAACCACCTTTGCATTGGATTTACAGCCTTGTTGGTCGATTTGGCCTGCTTGGGCTTGACAGTGTCTTTACGCAGCTTTTCCTGCATTGCCTTGACCGTGCTCATCTCAGGCACCGCATGCACCGGCCCTCTGTTGTTGCTGCGGAGCTTCTCCTGCCTTGACCCCGTGGCACCAGCCTCCATGGCGAATGGTCCCAGTTCCTCCATGTTGTTGCAAGCCTTTGCTTGCTTGGGCTTGTTCGCTCCGTTCCTTGGAAAAGCCCAGCTCGAGTCAATGGCGCCGACTGTTGACGTCTCACAGACCGAGCTATCGGTTTCAGCACAAAGCTTCACTTACCTCGAGATAGCAGCACTGGCACCATCCTTTGCAAGACCGGGCCCGCCTCTGCCAACAAGATCCCTCGCGTGCCTGGGCCTGTTGGTGTTGCCCGTTGGCAGCTTGCAGCTGCAGTCCGTTCTTACGCTCTCCATAATCGATCACACACACCTTGAACCCCCGGTACTTGTACGCTCCTTCACATGTGCGGGATCAACTCTGTCATCGCCGGAGCTTGGAGTTGCAGGTTCGCCGCTCCTGTGCCTTGGCCGCATCCTGGATGGCATAGTGGAAAGAGTAGTAGGAGTAGTGGGAGGATGAGTGTCGCTTCGTGGCAGTAGCAGTAGCAGCCGGAGTGCAGCAGAGGTTGTGGCGGTGGTTGCCGTCCTCTAGTTCTAGTTCCAGTTCTGCTTCCAGTTCTAGATCTAGTTTTAGTAGTAGTAGTAGTAGTAGTAGTAGTAGTAGTAGTAGTCGTCGTCGTCGTCGTCGTCGTCGTCGTCGTCGTCGTCGTCGGTCGCAGTAGTCGTAGTAGTCGTAGCAGTCGTAGTCGTAGTAGCCGTAGTAGCCGTCGTCGTCGTCGTCGTCGTCGTCGTCGTCGTCGTCGTCGTAGTAGTAGTAGTAGTAGTAGTAGTAGTAGTAGTAGTAGTAGTAGTAGCAGCAGCAGTGGTCGTAGCCGTGGTAGCAGCAGTCCACACGTGCTCATGCTTATTGCAAACATGCCCAAACACTGCTATTCACAGCGCTTTTCCTTATTTGCACAACATACACTTCGCTCGCTAGTTGTAATGCTGCATTACGTAGAGAACGAACAAGCGAGTTTTTGAAGTGAATTTCATGAACGAGTAAATCAGGTACGCGAATGAACTATAAGTAGGGTCTTTGAGGCAGTAACAACAGACAACGACACATCCGAAAATGCCTGATACGCTGAATTGAAGTTGCCTCCAGAACCTGCGTCCCAGGCCCCGCACATTCGCTCGGCCTGGTAGCACGGCGCTCACACTTGGATTGCTCCGATTAGGGCCTCTGCCTTCGGCCGCAGGTGGGAACGCTTGATTGCTCTGGGCACACAAGACTTAGATCTTCAAAAGTCTGAACAGTCTGAATGTCTTTAGTGTTTTTGCATCATCAGGCTTCACAGGAACAGTTTTCACATTGCATGGAGTTGTTGGCATCCAGCCGCTGAGTTGAATGTTGCAATCCTGACCAGATGCGGGGCACCCCGGTTTTCCGACCTCTTTGCGGAGTTTCTCACAAGCAGGAGCCGTGAGCCGTGCGAAATATCAAGCATGTTCACCGACTTTAATGGCAGTGATGGCTTTTGTTGGCAGGAGTGGCCACTCTGGTGTTGGGACTGGTGCATTCGAACTCCACACTGTTGCCCAGAAGCTCTGGATGGCTTGGCTTGGCTGTGGTGGCAATGAGCCTTTGCTTCATTACGACCCCACTAGCTGAGTGCATTCCGGTGATGCGACCAGAGGTTACCAGTGGTTCAGCAGGAGTGTTTACTTGTGCGCTGCATCACAAGGTATGCGTCACGACCGAGCTCGCTGTTGCCTCCGCGAACTTCCGCCAAAATGGAATCGTTCGTGCTAGTATGCGGCTCAGCACGATCGGGTCCGCCGATGCTCGTTGTGGACCACAAGCTGCCAGGCAGATGTGCGGGTTTGTTTAAATGATGAAAGATAAAACATGCAGTGCTTGCAACAGATTTCAGGATCAACGTCCCGCGAATTGCATCACGCTTTCCCTGCTTTGCTTTCCAACCCGGTCGTCCCTGGAAGGTTCGGCTTCATCCTTGCAAAGCTTCTCCAATGCTGGCTTAAGCTTTCTGCTCTTCTGTTTCAGCAGGACCCGCCAGGAAGTCAATTGAACCGCTAGGACAAGCCCACGGAATTTGGCTTTCCCAGCTGCAGCTAGCGTGAGGTTTGCCCATGCCCTTGTGTTTCGAAGCTTTAGACCCTGAAGAATAGCAATATGCCACAGTTTGATAGGTGCATGCCTGCATCGGCCATGGTCCAGGAAAGGTGAAGAGCAAAATGTATCATGGTAGCAAAAGAGGGCTTCAAAAGTGGCACACGATGCATGGGACCCCTTTTTGGTTCCCTTGTCACTTCATCGCAGCTTTCCAAAACTCTGCATGGCGGTCTTGGAACAGACTTGGGGGCACAGGCTTGCTCACCGCAAGGAGAAGCTTTCCTCGGGCTTCGCATTCGCATCACGGTCTAATGTTTGAGTGAAGCTGGCGTATGTGAGCTGTATGTGGCGATGTTGTCTGCAGATTTGCTGCTTCCGTGGAAGGACCGATTCTTTCACATCATTGCGGGCAATGGCACAAGCTGGAGTACTTCCATCTACGACAAGAACAGCAAGATGCGAGGCACTGATGTCAGCACCAGATCTTCTGCAGCTTGGCTTGCCGACGTCTTCGCAAAGCTTCTTGGCTGAGTTTCAATGTCTGGTCAGATAAAGGAAGTTCAGGAATGAATCACCATGTGTTTTGCAACAACATGGCAAGACCAAAAAGCAACCAAGGTCTTTGCCGCCTCAACTTCACTTTACTGGCATTGGCTGTGAGTCACCTTGGTACTCCGTTGCCGGTCCATTCACTTGGCCGTTTAGGTGTTTTGCTTCCAGCTCCAGCCTTTCATCACCTCGGTTTGCTTTTGTTGTTTCGTGCTGGTTCTCAAGTGGAAGCCGTGTCGTTTGTGTTCGGCATGGGCAGGATTGATCCCGGCTCATCTGCTCCTGGTTTCGCCAGCCTGGGCGTACCCCTCTTGACCCGATCTCTTGCACGCTGTGACTCTTCTGCTTCGGCCCCTCAGTTCAGTGCCATGGGCTCTCCGTTGCCTTTGCAAACAGCTATTCGTGCTGATGTATCAACCCTGGCCTGTGGCCTGTCGTGATATGGTTCTTCTGCTCCGGTGCTGGATCCTCTGCACTCAGGTGCGGTCACGTCGCTTCATAGCCTTGCGAGACTTGATCTTTTCACATTCGTACCCGCCGCAGTGCGACTTGAGCTGCCCCTAACTTTGCAGCCCTTTGCTCGGCCTGGCCTTTCAGTTCCTGCGTCTGGCGCACTACGACTTGGATCCACGCTCCCAGTCCTGACCGAAGCATACACCGGAGTCTCCGCGCCTGCACATTCACTCACAAGACTAGGGTCAGCCTCGCCACTTCCCAGCTCCAAAAACATGGGCTTGTTCCTGCTACTGCAGAGCCTCACCTGTCTAGACTCAACTCTGAGCACTTTGTCCACGGCTTGCTCGGGCGTTTTCGTGTTCCTGCAATCCCTTGCCTGCATTGGTTTGCTTGCTTCAGTTTCATGCACCCAACGATTAGGGCCGTCCTTGTCCCTGCACAACCTCGCAAGGTTTGATGTGCTGTCTCTCATGCCTGGCAGGTCACGGTGCGGGTTCTTGCTGCCAGCGTCAGATCTTCCATCCATCGGCCCCTTCCTGCTTTTGAAGTCTTGCGCAGGAACGGAATTGCTGTTGCCAGTCCTGCAATCCTGCCATACCGGCCCATCCACGTTCCTGAGAGCACTCATGTGAGCAGGCTTGCTACTTCCCATGACAGGCAACATAAATCTTGGCCTGGCAGAAATTCTGCCAGTAGCAGGAATCTGCCACGTAGGAGTCTTCCTTCCATCGCGAAGCTTTGCCTGCCTTAGCCCGTCTGTATCGCCTTTGGGCTTTGCAGCTTCAGGTGCACTGATGTTGCCGAAGTCCTCTGGCAGGTTGAGCGCTGCTGCTTCCGTGGTGGGCCTGGCTTGTTTTGGGCCGATGGCTTCAGCGTTGGATGCGGGAACGCTAGGCTCCCTGCTTCCAGCGAGATCCGTACTCCAGCTTGGGTTAGTCGTGTCTGCTTCGAGCTTTGCGAAGTCCGGCTCTTTGACTGCACCCAGGTCACTTGCATGTGCAGAAACCTCACCTTTCGCCTTGGCATGTTCAAGTACGGGGCCTCCGTTGTCGCCGCAGGGACTTTCACGCACAGACCCTGTGCCTCCAGCATCTGGTCGCGCCTGTGCCGGGCTCCTGTCACCTGTGCTGGACAGCAGCTCGCTGGGGTCGAGCGTGCTGCTACGAAGCTCTTCTCACTCGGGGCTCGCAGCCTTGCTCTTTGCATGTGGTCGATTGGACTTCTTGCTGCTCTTAAGATGCCTTCAGAGAGTAGACCCGGCCGTGTCAGCATGTGGATCAGCTCGTTCAGGTTTCAGCCCGCCTGCGCTCGAAGTGGCCACTGCAGGCTTCTCGATTGTTCCACACAGCTCTAGCTGGTCAGATTCCGCGGCTTCATTGTTCGATTTCAACACCATGGGCCCACCCCCATTTGCACGATCTTCCGGCCACCTCGGCCTGCCGATGTCTGCATCTGAACTTGCTAAGCTGGGGCCGAGTTTGTCCTTGCAAAGCTCCATGTGTTTAAGCGCTGCAGCATTTGCATCGGGCGTGTCGGCACCAGACTCGTTGTTGTCAGCCTCAGACAGTGTGCCATTGGGCTTGTCCTCGTTGCCGCAAAGCTTCGCATGCTTTGGCAGTTTCCTGCTGCTGCTGGACGGATGCAGCATGGGATTCTTCTTGCTATTGCAAAGTCTTGCTTGCGCAGGCTTTGCTGCGTCGTCATCCTGTTCGGCTCGCCTTGACCTTTTGATGTCCCTGCAGCAGTCCGCTCATCCCGATCCAACGGCTCTTGTCTCCGGCCTTTCCCGCCTTGATTTTGCTGCGCTGGTGGTAGACAGCAGTTTCTCTGAACCATCCGTGCCTTTACGTGCCTGTTGTCGTTCGGGCCCTACAATCCTCCTCCTTGACTTAAGCCATCCAGGAAGCTTGCCATTTCTCAGATCCTCCTTCTGCCTCGGGCCCATTCCTCCGATGTATAACAAAATGGCTGGAGGTACCGGAATGCTGCCGGTGCTCAATGTTGCTCAGCCTGGATCTTCGCCGTCGCTCAGGTCTCTCAGTCGCATGACCTCATCTGTGTTTATACTGGGTTTCTCTGGACTTGATGCTACGACAGTACTCCAAAGCTTTGCACAACCAGAAAGCAGTGCCTCAGTGTTCGAGGCTGTTCATCCTGGATCGCCTTTGCTGTCAAAGGCGGCAGGGCACCTGGGCCCAGCAGCACTCACATTCGGCGCAACTCGTTCTGGCTTCCTGCTTTCAGCACCTGACTCCTTGCATCTCGGGCCGCCACCCCTTGCCCGGTCGGTTGCGCAAGTGGGCCTTTCCGCATCTGCTTGTAACCTTGCGCGCATGGACCTCTCCTTGCTCCCAAGGGCATTCGCAAGATTGGGTTTGTTGCCACTCATTTCCGGCCTCGTGCGAGCGGACGCCACGGCGTCTCCCTTATCCGACACGCATGCAGGGGCTTCCGTGCCGTTGCAGTCGCCTGCATGCATTGGATCAGCTGTTCCTGCACCTTACGCGGCTGCTCCCGGATCGTTGGTCTCCTTGAGAAGCTTTGGTCAGCCTGACCTGGCAGCCTTTCCTCCGAGTCTCTCTGGCACCGATTCACCAATGCTTTTGAAGGCAACCACCAGATCAGGTGCCGTAGCTCCAGCTTATGGTCCGTCGTGCGCTGATTTGCTGGTATCTGTATCCGACCATGCAGCTGTGGGCTTTTCAGTCTCATTACGCAGCTTCTCCCGGCCGAGCTTGGCTGCATCATCGTTTGCGGTGTCCGCTCTGGGGCCGTCTTCGTTGCCGCAGCACGCTGGATGTCTAGGCAGCACTGTTCTCATGGCGGGCGCATGCAGCCTTGAGCCCTTTCCTCCAGCTTTGGACAGATGCGATCTGGGCAGCTTGCCGACGTCGCACAGCTTGGCTAGACCCGAACTATCACCACTCGCCCTGCGATCCACAACTATAGATAGCCTCCTGCCTTTGAGAAGCCTCAGCCGCTTCGAGTTGTTGATGTTGGTTTTCGCAAGCTCCACACCTGGCCTGTCCTTGTCCTTGCGGTCCCTTGCCTGCCTTGACGTCTGTGTGCTTGCCTTGAGCTCAGCCAGGCTGGGCCTTATTTTGGCTGCCCTCGATGCGCAGCACATTGGTTCCCTGGCTTTGTTGCGGAGCCTCGCATGAGTGGGCAGCCCATCACCGACATACAAGGCTACGGCTTCAGGCCTTTCGATGCCTTTGAGGAGCCCTTCCCGACTGGGGGCGTTGGTCTCTGCCGCTGGCCTGTCTCGCATGGACCTGCTGCCATCCGCGCTTGACTTTCTGCATCCAGACATTCTGGTGCCACCACATACCTATGCCCAGTCAGAGTCATTCGCGTTTGTGCTTAATCTCGCAAGTGCGGGATCCTTTTCGTTCCTGCGGTCTCTTGCATGGCTCGACCCTGTGACGCCAACACCGGAATCCGCCACCACAGAATTCTCCTTGCTGCTGAGGCCTGGACCACCGGTACTCGTAGTAGAGAGAGAAAAGAGATGAAAAGAAAGAGATGAAAAGAGCAAGCCGAAACACACCACGTGTCACACTCAGAAGCTTCTGCGTCAGGGGGGTGCGACGTCCAGGCTCAATCGTGTCGCAAGCGTGCGGCTTAGAGAAGTGAAAGCCGATCAGTGAATCTAGGCCCCTAGGCATCTTCTGGTGATTCTAGTACATTCAGCCTTGCATGACCTTGAGGCAAGCCAGCTCCAATTCGGCTTCACCTCCTTGGTCGTAGATGCAGCAAGTGTCACCTGCCTGCTACAGCGAGTCCTGTTTGGATGTGTGTGTGTCGTTGATCCTGCAAAGTGTGCAATTTGTAGGTGGCTTGACCGAGTGCGAACACAGGGGTTGTGATGGAAGCGCAATGGAATCAGATAATTAGTTGAATCACACATGTCCCTCTGGAGAAAAGCCTGCTCAGTGTGGCTCATCAGCGTCGGCAAGATCATCTACCTGATCGGGATCACTTTCGTTCGTGTGCATGTTTGCAGCTCCGGGATTTTCAATGTCACCAAGGACTGGGATTAGGGCTGGGCACAAACTGTAGAACTGTAGAACTATAGGTCCGCAATACTGACTCGCTGCGTAGGCGTGCGCCTGGCCAGGAGCTTCTCGTGCTCAGAGGTTACATCCTTCGTGCTTGGGACAACGTGCTTTGGTTCCTCGCTTCTAGCGGCGGAATGCAGTAACTCAGGTGCATCTGTGTTCGTGCAAAGCCCTGGCCATCCTGGCCTTATTCTTCCGACGCCTGAGTCTGCAAACCCGGATGTCTTCCCTTTGCTAAGGTCTCTCGGCTGTTTAGCGCTGCTCCTGCCTGTCTTCAACTGTGTTCACCTAGCCCCACTGCTGTCCCTGCACAGCCTGGCTTGTTTGGGCTTGCTTGCGTCAACAGGGGGCCTGGCCTGCACAGGATTCGCGGTACCAGCTGTAGATTCTGTGAATCTGGGTTTGTCCGCTCCAACTCGGAGCTTCGGGCATCCCGATTCTGTGCTGCTTTCAATAGGTGCAAGTCATTTGGGGCCCTTGCTGCTTCCGCAAAGCCCTGCATGACCTGAGCCGTCGGTGTCAGCTTTGGTTTCCACGCGTGTTGGAAGCTCGACATTTGTGAGGTCCCTTGCCAGGTTGGACACGATTGTGTCGGTCATGAGCGCATGCCGGCCGGGAGTGTTGCTTCCGATCCTGGATAGCACGCCAACAGGTTTTCTAGCGCCATTGCAGTCACCCGCATGCACAGGAAGCCCCGCTGCTTGGCTGCAAGAGTGCAAGGATCTGCAAGGGAAGCGTGTGGTTCAGAATGAGTAAATTGAGTAGACGCAGTAGCTTGAGCAGCTTGAGCAAGTGCCAGTCTACTCTCCTGCAAACTAACATAGAAACCCCCGCAGGTGTTTTTCGACGACACTTTGTATGTTAGTTTTTCTCGCGGCCGGAATTGCCATGTTAGTGGTTTCCGTCTGGTAGATGGCAACTCGCAGCGTGCCCCCAGCCTGGAGAGGTTTTTGTCAGGAAAACCTGAAGAATACCCCAAAACTCGGAATTGCCATGTTAGTGGTTGTAGCGCCCCAAAAGGGTAAAAAAACATAGCAATGCTCAGGGATGGGGTCCGGCGGGTCAGGGAGGAAGGGTGGAAGCGGGTTTCTGATAACGTAGCAAGGGGATCAGGATCAGGAGGCTCCCAGCTGCGAGTTTGCACAGCCTCTCACAGAAGGAGACACGCAGCAGCACACACAAACCCAACAAAACAGACCAGTGGACCACTAGCATAGCAATTCCGGAGATAACCTTACAAAGCCCACTTCAGTTAGTCACGGAGGAGAGGCGAGGGATCCAGGAGTACGGGAGGGTATGGTCATGGGGGTGTGGGAGACAAGCGCTGCTAACCTAGCAGTTGCTGGACTATGCCGAAAAGGCAGAATTTTCACAGACAAGACCGCGCGCAGCAGGCGAGTTTGCACAGCTTCTCACAGACAGAGACCGCGCGCAGCAGTACACACCCACAACCCAACAAAACAAGCGAGTGGACCACTAACATAGCAATTCCGGCGAATACCCTATTATGGAGGGGGAGGCAAAGGTTCCAGGAGCACGGGGAGGCTGCCGTCACGGGTGGAGGGGGTAGTTCCGGGAGGTCGGGGGTAGGAGGGGGGTCGTGGGCGACGAGCACCGCTAACCTAGCAATTGCGGGAATTGCTCAAAAGTCCTGTTTTACAGATGAACACTGCTAGCGTAGCGACTTCCAGGAATAGGACTGCAAGGCCTTTTCATGCGTGTTTTCGGAGTTATTTACCACTAACATGGAAGTTGTGTGCATACCTGAGCACATCAGCCTGCTGCTAAAATTCCAGGAAAATGCCCCATCAACCCCAGCATAACCACTAACATACAATTTTCCGGAGGGGTCCTCGCCATCGCTTTTATTGGGGAAAATTAGGGGTCGAAATCGGGTAACCGTAGCTATGTTAGTTGCACCAAATCATGCACGTAGTTTCCATGTAAGTTTGCAGGAGCAGTAAGTGTTAGCCGCTGTTAGCCGCTGTTAGCAACACAAGCGACGGACCCCAGCCTGAGCCTCAGGTTCTAGTCTTGGCCTTTGCAGCAATGGGCACCCCCCCTTCCTCAAAGAGCACTTCCTGCGTGGCCAGTAGTTTGCCGGTATTCGGTCCGGGCCTCAGAGTTTGGTCCCAAGCTTTGCAAGCTTGTGCACTTTGCGTATGAGATCGAAGTCAGACGATAAAGTGATTCTTTAAGGTTCTGGACGTCCAGGCTTCTTGCCACCAGCGGCAGAGATGATGCACCTGGGTTTCCTTCCCTCACCACGGAGCCCTTCGCATCTTGGCATTTCCATGCCAGTCCCTAATCTCGCGAAAACCGGCTTCTTGCTGTCAGCGCAGGCATCCGTAAGACCAGGCTTCTGTCTTCCATCAGATGGCAACGTACGTCAAGCCTCCTTTCCGTCAGCACAGGATCCCATCCGACTAGGCTCGAGCCCGCTGCTGCTGGGAATTATGCGTTTGGGACCCGATACTCCTGCACTCGACCTCGCTTATTCAGGTGCCCTGGTGTCTGCACACAGCCCCAGCTGCATAGGTCTGCTCCCTTCAGCTTCTGCTGCGTCTCGTCCAGAATCGTTTCTGCCTTTACGCAGCCTCTCTTGCATCGGCCTGGCAGCTTTGGCATGTGGAGTGGTTAGGCCAGGATTGGCCCTGTCGATCCTTGATGGCGCACATACTGGCCTTTCACTTCCGGCAAGATGCCTCCTGTGAGTTGGCGCAGTGGTGTCTGCCTCGGCTTCCTCCCCTCTCGACCTCGCGGTGTTAGTGCGAAGCCTTGCACGTCCTGACACACCACTGCTTGCGCCAAACATGGCCAAGGCAGAGCTTCCCGTTTCCTTGCAAAGTCCGTCTTGCATTGGCTCCGGTCTGCTGGTTTTCAGTCGGGCGCGAACAGGCCCTTCAATTCTAGCCCTAGACCCTCTGCATCTGGGCTCCCCTTTGCCAACACACGGCTGCGCTTAGCTTGCATCACCAGCGCTGGTCTTCAACATGGTTCAACCTGGTCCACTAACGCTTTCACGAAGCTCCGCCTGGATGGGCCCAGCTCTGCCATGCCATGGCTGCATTCGCTCAGGTGCTGTAGCGCTGGCGCCAGACGAAGCGACACTTGACTTGCCCGTGCCTTTGAAGAGCTTCAGCAGGTTGGCTAGCATCGTGCCAGCATCCGGCTTCACAACGCTCGATTCTTCCTTGCTGGTGCAAAGCTTTTCCCGCCCAGATGCTGTTGTTCCAGCGTTTTGTGCAGTGACATCGGGACCATTATCGCCCTTGCGGTCAATGGTTTGACTGGATGCTCCAGTCTTTGTGACAGGATGTGGGAAACCCGGCTCTTTGGTGCTTCCAGCTGATAGCGTGCCTCTTGACGCCCTCCTTCCATCGAAAAGCCCTGCACAACTAGAAAGCCCAGTGCCAGCGTTAGACTCTAGCAATGTAGATCTGACACTGCCAGTGCGGAGCCTTGGCTGTTTGGGACCTGCCGTCATGTTGTTTGACTCTGCTTCCATGGGCTTGCCGTTGCTCTTGCATGGCTTCTCAAGGACAGAACTTGCGCTGTTGATCGTGGGCGTTAGCCGTGGAGGCTTGGCACTGTCATCCGCAGACTACGTGGGCTCGGGCCCTTCGCCTTTGCTTAGATCACTTGCACAACTCGAGTTGCTGGTAACAGCGTTGGTCTCTTCTCATGCAGGCCTTTTGGTGCCACCCAGAGGCTTGGCATGATTGAGCCTTGCGGTGCCTGCGTGTGGATCGAGTCGGCTTGGTTCCCTGCCTCCAACACTTGACGATACTCGCGTGGGCTTCTTCCTGTCCCCGCAATCGTTCGCTCGCACGGGCTTGGCAGCTTCATTGATCCACCTTGGGAACGCAGGGCCCACGCTGCTTGCACGCAGCCTCGCCAACCCTGGCCTGCCTGCCTCAGTGCCGGACTTCGCGCATGTAGGTTTGCTGCTGCCTTCACGGAACTTTGCGCATCCAAGCCCTGCCGCACTCGTTTTCGGAATAGCACGGCCAGAATCCATCGCTTCAACTCTGGGCTCCAGCAGTTTGGGTATTTTGTTGCCGCCCAGAAGCTGTTCATAGCTGAGTTCTGCGTCGCCCATCTATCGCTTAAGTGCCATAGAGTCGAGCCTGTCACTGCGTGCTATTGCCCACCCAGAGACGCTGTTGCTGCCTTTTGGAGTAGGGCGGGTGTCCGGCACACTGTCGGCTCAGAACGGAGCCATCGGGGGCTCAATTCTGCTCGTGCGTTCAGATGCCAAAGCTGGTTGCATGCTGTTTCCGGTGGACATGGGCAGTCCGGGGTTGCTGCCACCACCGCAAAGCTTCACTAGGTCGGGACTGGCAATGTCCGTCTCCCAACACGCTGAGCTAGAACCGTCAACGTTGCTGCGAAGCTCTGCCTAGGTAGGTCCGGCATCCTCAACACTTGGCGTCTGCCGTCTTGGCTTGCCGGTGCTGGCAGCTGACAGTACGGGATGTGGGTCAGCGATGTTTCTAAGAAGCTTTTCCTGCCTCGACTTCCTGGTGCCTGTCTCTGGCGCAGCCAGGCTGGGCCTCTCCTTGTCTTCGCAGCATTTTGCTTGATTGTCCTTAGCCGCTTCTGTATGTGGACTGCTTTGGCCCGGCTCATGTGCCCCGGCTCTGGATGGCTCTCACCTGGGCCTTGTGTTGTTGATGCGCAGTTCGTCACGCACTGCATTAGTGTTGTTGGTATTCCAGTTCGCTCACCTCGACTCTCCTGTGCCCCTTCGCTCATTTGCGATCTTGGAATCGAGATCGTCTACAAAAGGGACAATAGATTTCAGGATCAGCGAAATGTTGTCAGTTATTGGCAGCTATGAGGTTGGATCACCACCACCTCTAAGGTCTCTTTCATATATGGCGAGCGCTGCGCTTCTCCTCGGGTTTGCTCACACAGGCTTGCTCTTGTTGTTACGGCAGCTTGCATGCCTCGCTTCGTCGCTGCTTGTGTCGGGCATGTCCTGCATAGAGGCGCTACCTTCATCATGTGCGACTACTGAGCCTGGCCCGGTGCTGCTGGCATCCGGTGGGGCTGACTTTGGATCCGCGCTCCTCGCCCTGGGCGAAGTTGCACTGGGATCCCTTCCGCCTCCACGCAGCCCCTCTCGACTCTCTTCCAGCGTGTCCGCATTCCAATTTGCGACTTTGGGCCCTTTTCTGTTGTCGCGGAGCCGGGCTCAGTCGGGGCCCGCCGCGCTGCCTTGCGGCGTTGCTCGGCTGGGACTTCTTGTGCCGGTTGTTGACGCTGCTCACCCGGGTTTCCTGGCTTTGGCTCGAAGTTCCGTCTGCATGGGCCTTACGGCTTCTGCATCAAGCCGTGCGCATCTGGAGGCCCTGCCGGCTCTGCGAAGCCTTTCGTGCTTAGGCCCCAACACATTCCTGCTGAACCTCGCAAGCCTGGAGGCCTCGATGTCATTACGATCGCTTTTCCAGCTGGGCTTCGGCGCGTCGACTACGGGCCTGGGTGCATCAGGGAAGGCAATATTTGCTGTGAGTCCTGTCAACCTGGGCCCTTTCTCGTTTCCTAGGTCTATTGGCAAGATTGAGCTTCCAGTACCCATTTCAGGCCCTGCACTTGTCGAAGTTCCACTGTTGGTGAGGGCCTTCTGTTGGGTGGATGTGCCTTTGCTCGCATCCCAATTCGCCACGCTGGACAGTCCAACGCTGTTGCAGGCCTTCGCATGTGCAAGCCCGGCGTCTCTTGTGCCCGGCGTTGCTTGACCGGGCTTGCCTGTCTCGGCTGTTGACCTCCAACACTTGGGTGTGACAGCGCTGCTGAGGTCTTTTGGCCATTCAGACTTGGTTGTGCTGCTCCTGGCCCTTGGCAAACTTGGACTTTCCTTCTTATCGCGAAGCCTTTCGCGTTCAAGCTCCTTCATGCTGGTTTTGGCCTGTGGGGGCATCGGCTCGTTACCGCCAGTCCGAAGCCTGATTCACGTGGCGCTCTTGCTGCTGATGGTGGGGGTATCCTGGTCAGAAGCTTCGTCTTCGACCTTAGACTCTTCTGCTCTCGGCTTATCCGTGTCTGTGCAGTCTCATAAACGACCCGGATTGGTCGTGCCGGTGCCGAGTCCGGCAGGCTTTGGGCCGTCTGTGCCTTTGCGTGGCTTTAGCCGACCGAGCTTGGCAGCGTCGCCCTCTGACTACCTTGCGCTCGGCCCAACGCTGCCTGTGCACATCTGGTCACGCGTTGGCCCATCCCTGTCTACACTCGGGAAAGGCCGATCCGGCTCCTTGCCCTTCATTGCAGAAGTTGTAAGCTCAGAGTCCAGTGTGAGCGTACGAAGTTTTGCAAAAGCATGCAGGTTCCTGTCCGTTCTTTCGTGCGCGAAAATGGGCTCCTTGCTGTCTTTGCAGTCGTCCGCGTGCTTTGAGCCAGCGCTGCTTGCTTTCACCTTTGGCCATGTTGCGCCCTTGATGTCGGTGCGGGCTTACACGTGCCCAGATCTCGCTTTTTCGACATGTGGCGTCTTCAAACTTCCAGCCGGTGCGGATGTCTCCGGGGAGCTCACCGCTGGAGCGGCCTTGGACACAGACGCGACCTTGGGCTCCTTCGGTAGCATGTTGCCCACCTGTGGCCTTGCCATGCTTGGTTCATCGGTTTTCGTTAGATCCTTCAGCCGATTGGGCTTAGCTGTCCTGGTCTTTAAAGCTGGGGGAACAGGCTTGACTGCTTCAATCAGGAGCTTTGCCTGCTTAGACTTCAAGTCTCCACTCTTTGGTGAAGCGTGTGTGGGCTGTCGCGACCCCATATCCGCACCTGAGTTCGTGCATGCAGACTCAGCATTGTTGCCCCAAGCATCCTCACAACCTGGCTTCACGTCCTTGGCTGCTTGGCTGCAGTGGTTGCATTTGCTGAGTGTTATTTGACATTTCTTGTGTGATAGGCCGCAAAGGCTTAAAGGGTGGGGCATCGGTTGCTTCTTGTGGACTAGGTCCTCAACATAGCACACATGGGCCTGGCAGCTTCTCTGCGAAGCTCCGCACACTTGGGCACGTCGACGCCAATATGCAGCTGCTCTGGCGCTGGGCCGATCCTGTTGACTCGTGGCTTCCTGCGTCCTGGACCCAGGGATACACAAACTGCTCCATAAACACACAATGCACGTGGCATGCAGTGACTATACCCTTGCTGAGATTCTTTACGATCTTCGTCTTTGGCTGTCTTTGGCTGTCTGCGGTTCATCTCCTCCTCCTTTTGTCTTCCTCCTCTCTGTGCACCACCTGAAGGACCCACGACGCCTGTGGAAACCGAGCGCAGATTCCGTGACCTCTCGATCACAGATTGTCAGGCAGCTAACTCTACCATTTGCTTGTGGAGTTTTGCCCTTAATGTTGGGGTTGCACTTGAATGTCGCAGAAACAGGCCCCGTGTGTGTGTGTGTGTGTATGTGTGCATATATGTTTTATATGGATACTCCTGGGTACATAATAAATAAATAAATCAATATATATATATATATATGTATAATCATAATATACATTATATATATATATATATATGCAGCTATCCCTGGTCTTTGTAGCCTGTGAAGAGTGAGCGGTGTGATGCGCAATGGTGTCGGGGTATGCGAGTCCGTCAGTCAGTCAGTCTGTGTGTCTGTCGGTCAGTCGGTGTGTGCAGCGCGTGCATGTGCTTGTGTTGTGCTGTGCCATGCTGTTTGTTCTTTTGTGCCGCGTCGTTCTTTGTGTTGTGTTGTTCTTTGTGTTGTTGTGTTGGTCTTTGTGTGTGTGTGTGCGCGTGCGTACAGGTGTGTGTTTTCTTTTTTGTATTTACGTTGTGTGGTTCAAGCTATTGCAAGCTGCAAGCTACTGAACCTCGCAGAAGCTGGGCTTCCTCCCACCTTCGCGGTCTTCCACTCGCTCGGGATCCCCTTCGTCCATCTTCAGTCGCTGACTTAGCGGAGCCGTTGGGCCCTGGTTCCATTAGGCTCGCAAATATTCGGCATGATGCGGAACGAAGTCGCAAGTGCAGTTCCCTGCATGGTTCCCGAGGCTTTGCGCATACCGGCTCCCTGCCGTTCCCGCAAGCTTTGGCATGGTTGGGGAGCAGCTTCTCGGTCACCCAGGCGCGAAATCGGCAGAAAGCATGGCCCAATGCAGACACAGAAGCTTGCACTCTCCAGCTTTCAATCTCCGTGTTTGGGTTTGTCATGTTTCCACATTGAAAAGAGATCAAACAGCCTCTGCAGTCTGGATGGGGCAGCTACGTCAGCTGCACAACGCCGATGTACGTGGGAGACCGGATGTCAGTTGTTGCCGTCGGCTTAGCCAGTCGTGGGATTCGTGGGCAGTCCGTTTTTCGGGTTTTCGGGGCAGGCTGGCTTTGGAAGGGTACGTGCCGCTAAGGAGTTCACTTTCATGGCATCCTGCCTGCCGGTGAGGACATGCCGAGTTGACTTGGTAGTGGCAAGTCGAGAGCTTCAAAGAAAATGGAGCACAGCGAATGTCAGTTAAGTTTTTGGGGGACGGCAAGACACGAGAAATGGTGGCAAGGAGTATGACCAGATCCGCATCGTCTCCTTCAGTGATCGGCTTGGGTAGACCCAGTGGAGTCCTCAGAGAGAGAGAGAGGGAGGGAGGGAGGGAGGGAGAGAGAGCGAGCGGGCTCTGCAGGTGTAAAAATAGCATAGCACACACCAGCGCAGACTGGTCTTGCTCCCGTGCTGGTACTGTAGCTAATCTTCACACACCTTGCAGGGCTGCACCGGCCGTGAGTTCAGACTCGTTCAAAGCGGTAAGCGCTGGGAAATTGAGGTCCTTCAATGTCTGCCTTGGACTATGCGACTGTCGAGTCTCAGCCTGAGTGCAGTCTCTGGTAGGCACAATGTCAAGGCATAATGAGTGCTTCGTCACAGTTGGGATTGGTTTTCATCGTCATGGCCCATGCAAATGCTGCAAAGGTTCACGGTGTCGTCACAGAGCCTCACCCGACCGAGTTCGTTCCTGTTCGAACTGCCGGCATGATGTCAGGGAACCACAGCACGGTCTCGAGTGTGGAAGGGTGGCCCTTGCAGGTAATCACCACAATAATTTGCAGGTGGCTCCCATTTTTTCTCAAGATCTCTTTACTGATCCTAGCTTTGTGTGCGCCTTACTTGGCAGGTGTTCCAGTTCAGCAAAATGGCCTCGTTCCCACCTCTGAGAGGCAGCCTTGGACGTGGAGCTCATGTGGTGAGTTCTGTAAATTAGGGTCCCGTGTGGGCACCCTAAATATTAACCGCTTAGGAAGGTGGCGTGGAATGTGCGGAATGCTCTGATCGCAGCCGCAACCAGCGACTCGGTATGATCTCCCCGGCCAGGCCCAGTGTGCTTGGGACCACCGCCCTCCTGCGTCCGCTCTGCGCAGAGAGCCCAGATTGACGAACATGCCGATGTGACAGGTTACGTAGCGCAGCTTCAAAGAAAGTCTCTGTAATACACAGAAGCGCCACAGTCATGTGCCACGTTCAGTGATCATGACCTTAGAAAAAGTTTGCATTATGCTGCAGGGGCTTGACGGTCTCGCTCACGACGACCTCCTTCTTGGCAATTGACATGGCAAACCTGGGCAGCTCGGTTTCAGTGAGGCGGGGGCTGCCATGGTCTAGAACACACCGCAGGTCTGCTTGTCTTGATTTCACCTAACTCTCGTCCGCGCAGGTCACCTACAAGAACCGGGAGTGCGTTGCCCGTCTTCGGATTCTCTTCCTTAGGTTCCCCGATGGCCCCTGAGCTGCAGAGATCTGTTGAAACAGCACGCGGTAACTTTGCTTGCTGTCAGTTGAATCGCCTGCCCTTCTACCTCTCAGTATGGCAGATAAGAGTAGAACACTCGAGATGCTCAAGCTCAGGCAACACAATCATGTTCATGCCTCAGTCTGTCAGAAGCGCATGAAACATGTTTCAATGAGTCAGAGGCAACTGGTCTTGGATAGTCTAAACTCGCTCAGTTGCACACCCTGGTCCTGCTGTGTCCTGTGTCAGCTTGTCGCGTCCCCAGAGCACTCAGAGCACGCGGGCAGGTGCCGTTGTATGCTGTAGTGCTCATGTAGGAACAGGCGTCGCCGCACCATGTAGCTCAAGTCAAACTTCCCGAGGGCGCGCCTGGACTCGCCGATGTCCACCTTCTCGTACTGTTCCACCGGCATGGCTTTCTTCTAGACGAACCTTTAAGCTGGATCCTCTCACTCATCCATGGACACAGTGGTTAGAGATTGCTGAAAATGTGGCGTTTAGCCAGGTGCCCTCGGCTCATTCCTGCCGACTCGATCCTTTGTTCATCTTGGCTCCGGTCTGGAGCTGAGTGTGTGGGCAGAGGATGAGCTCAGTGCCAGTTTAAGCAGTTGAACATAGAAGAGTTCTGGAGCCTTGGACCTTGGACTTATAGAGCTGCTTAGCATTGCTTAGCTCTCCGCGGAGCTGAGGTCTGGCGATTTACGGGGCCGCCAAAATGCAGATTGGGACGCCCAACATCAACACCTTCCAATGGAACGCCAACACGTGCGACACAGCCAGCAAGGTTTTGTCAGGGCGCCTGTAAGGAGTGTAACCCCAGGTACATGCGCTACGATCGGCCGGCCAATGACTACATCAATATCTACACTGGTGGCCAGCATGTGTCTCGCCAAGGAAGTCTGGAGCCTGCAACAGTGCTTGTCACCGATCTCCTCTGGCGCTAGGCCCTGGGAACGTTAGACGGTACCAAATGACACTAAGCTAAGAACTTCGACAGTACGAGGGCTGTCCGGCCGAAACCAGCTGAGTACTGCACATAGTTAACCCTGCCGGCGGCACCAAGAACTTGTACATGCGCTTCGGCAACAACGAAAAGCACCTCCACGGATCGTGGTCGGAGCCCGTGCTGAACGCGATTACCTCGCAGGGAGCTCAGAGAAGCTTCCTATAGTCTCAACAGAGCAGCTTGCTCAAAAGTTTCCAGCATGTTATGTCATGGACATCATGCGGTATGTGCGATGCTGTCTAGAAGTCGCATGCATCAAACACACCGTGGCTCAGGGACCGGCGTCTGAAGACGAGCATCACGCCTCTTCGGAGGACCTTGCAAGGCCTGCAGGCCCGCAGCTCGGGATTGTGCCAGTCAGAGGACTCGGCAGGGTGCATTGATGTCGATGAACCTACACGTGCACTGCTCGCTGCGCGTTTGAGGGCGAAAACGCCACCGAGCAGGGCAAGAAAGGCACGGCCTGTGCACGCATCACCGTGTGACAGTTCAAGATTAACGTGCAGTTAGAGCAAGTTGATCGCTTAGGCGACGGAGCTTTGTGGATGCTCCGGCAAGGTTCTCAAGCCCTTCCTACAAGTAAGGAGCGTGTGAGTCAAGGCAAAGTTTTTGCATGGGAGATTCGAGCGCGAAATTTTCCAATGCCAGCTGAGGCAGCTCCGCCCCGTGTCCTATCACTTTAAAGCCGGCTCCGAATCCAAGTACATGCGCTTCGGCTTCATAGGCCAGAGCGGGTCAATCGGGTGATGGTGACGTTGGTGACAACCATGGTGAGTTCATGCCCTAATATGCCTCCCTGTGCCTCCCTGTGCCTCCTTGCCCCTGCCAGCCGATGAGCTGGAGACCACGGTCCCTCAAGTCGTTCGTTCAGGAGGCTCTCGACAAGGCTCGCAAAGCAAGAAGCGACAGAGGGTTGTGGAAGTCTGGGCCGGCATCAATCTGATCTCCTGAGGTGTGGAGAACACCAAGACGGTGGCCATCTATGCCCCAATCTTACTTAGTCTTGCTACTATTTCGGGAACCGCCTTGTGACGAATCACCGTTCAAGCCTCTGAGGATCTGCTTGCCCTGCTGACCGCGGCCGGGCAGAGCCAGCAAGAGGTCATCGAGAACCAGGTCCGGAGAACATCCGGTGTGGTGTGGGAAATACGAGCGTAGCCGCTGCGTAGCCTGAGCACTGCATGATGTCGCATGCAGCTCCCTGTTCCACTGTTCCGGTGTTCTGGGGGTGCAGGAGCGGCTCATGGCCAGGCTCTCAGACTGCGCTCGAATGGTGCAAGGGGACGTGAAGGGAAGCAGTTCAGGTAAGGGAATGCCCTCTAAGTTAACAGTCCCCCAAGCTACTGCACCGTGGCTGTCAAGGATCAGGTAGAGGCCGAGTTCGAAGCCTTCAAAGCCGAGCTGAAGATCCTGAAAGAGATGAAGGCAGGAAGTTCAGAAGTTCAACGCATTTCAACGCCTTCGCCCTTCACCAACTTGTGAGGGTGGCTGCTTGGGAGCACGGCCAGATAGCGGTCGCGAGTACGTAGCTGTGCGGCTGCAGGAGAAGAAGAGGCAAGCCAATCGTGCGCTGGCCTGCGGGGCAACTCGCAAGAAGCGCAGACGGCTCTGGTGGCGTTGAATTGATGTTGAGCAGGATCCTCTTCTCATAATGCCCTTAGAGAGGGGGGGCGCTGGCGAGCGCCTTGGGGCCTGACTTGCCCTAAGCCAGATTGGCGTCAGGCATGGCTGCAACCATTCCCCCTTCCTTCTCAGCTTCCACCAAGCCAGTCCTCTTCACTTTGGCCGACAGAGATTTCTACATGCTACAATGAGACCTATCGTGTCTGCCTTTTCGAATTCGAATGAAGGGAAAACAGTGAGGTTGATAACGGTTGATAGTTGTCAGTGTGGGGACTGTCCTGGTGCGGGTAGCTGCGCGAGAGCTTTCGCAAAAGCCAGCTCCGCCTCGTACTTTCTGTCGCGTGAGTGCAGCTGCTTCTGCATGAGGGCATCTTCAAGGGAGCCTGCAAATTCAGAATTCGTGCCTCTGGCAGAAAAAGAAATTTTTGTGATTTTGAATCACTGCGCCGCAAACGTGACAATCTAGAAGTCTTGTGACGTGTGTAGCTTGTGAGCCAACGCTTGTGCCGGAGTCGAGAATGCTGCAGCTTGTCGGCACTTGTCGGCCAGTGGGGTTCATGGTAGTCGCACCACTCATGACAGATATCAGAAGGTTTCAGAAGGAACACTATGCGACCGTCCATGTCCATGCGCACGGGCCAGCCTAGCTCAGTGCAACGACCAAGTTAGGACCAGGCTCCTTGTTTACTAGACAGAAAGCCAGCCTCAACGACTCGAAGTTGTTGCAAAGTATCTCTGAGTGCATTGTCTCTCTCGGCTGCTGCAGCCAAAAATTTGGCCGAGGAGGCTGGCATGTTGCAGAGTGTCAGAGAACGTTATCTGTAGACTCACGGTTTCTTCTGCGCAGTCTTCTCACGCCTCATGCCCCAAGGCCACATGGACAGTTGGAACAGTTGGAACAGTTGGGATGGACATGCCTGGCCAGTGGATCCCTCGGCTTGCACTGAGCTGCGCCACAAAAAAAGACGAGTAGAACCATCCCTGACCGAGCCTTAGCACAGAAGTCAAGAAAGCTGCGCTCTCATCAAGACACCCCCTAGGAATCTCTAGGGCCCTTAGGACCCTACTGTACCTCTCCTGGCCAGCAAAAAGAATTCCCAGTCCTGAAACATCCTGGAATCGTAAACCGGAAAGGTCTCCTGGCCGTTCGGGTTGGCCCGCGTCCTTGGCACTCCGCTCAAGGATGCTTTTGGGTTTCGGGTTTTTTTTCGGTTTCCGGTAGAATCGCACGAGATGGCGTTGGGGGGGGGGGGGGGTGTGAATGCACAGTCAGAAAGGAGGAACCAAGCATGATCAGTAATCAGAATCTGTATTTTTAGTGGGAGATTTTCATCTTTGTGGAATTGCAGGAGGGTCGAATAGGCCAGCTTGGTCAAATGATGTTTGCCAGCGCCTGAGCTTCCTCAGACGATGAGACGGCCACTGGATGTTTTCGGCTGTTTTCTCGGTTTTTTTCTGTTCCTGGCATGTGAGGTTACAGTCTTGGGCCTAGCCGTTGGTGCTTGGCTCTCAGACGCGGCGGGGCTGGTTTACAAGTACTGGGCACGACATACATTGCGGCTTCAGGACCTTCACAACTGCCCAGCCTTGAAAGGTCTGACGTCTGAAGATGTTGAGCCTGGATACTGGAAACTTTTTTTAGAGCCTGGATACTGAATACTTTTTGTAGACATGTCGAAAACATAGCATCCACAGTTGCAACAGTTTATGGAAGGCTGCAACGCCGCCGAAAGAAGCGCAACACCCCAAGGTCCTGATGTGGGGGAGAACCGCCGACCAGCCTTTGGAAGATCAAAGGCTGGGGCGCGTGGAGTGTTGCTTTGTCATAGTTGGGTACCATTTTGCATTGTTAAGGGTACTTGAACCCAATAAGGAATAAACATGCAAATTTCAATTTTTAATATTATCCCAACCGTGAACTGAACTAGTTCTGGGCGCCACAAGGCTCATTCCTTCTCACACGCGCTCCCCACCTTCAAGACTCGAAAGATGCTCAGCTCTACCAACTCTGAAACCCAGTTGAAGATCCCGAAGCTGTCCTTTGCTGCCTGTTACCCGAAAAGAAGGCGAAAAAGGGAGGCTCAACAGACCCCAAACTGAAACCCTTTGAAAGGCCGGAAGCGTCGAGTCAGGCCAGGGCCTCGACCGTGTCTTTGCAGGGCCGCGTCTTCGGTTGATGCCCAATATGCCGAAGCGAAGGTGTTACCTTTCTTTCGCGCATTTTGTCGAAGGGATGACATGTTCGGGTTGAGGGTTCTTTACGGGGCTTCAGGTTACGTAGGGGTTTCAGGGCAAGGAGGGTAGCCTCTTGCAAACAAGCTGCCGCAGAACACGCTGTGACACCTGCAGGCCAACAGCATAGGCCCGGGCCCGAGAAGACACTGCCAAGGCAATGCTCAGCAGCTGTGATCGGGAGTGGAATTCCCGAAGGTGGTACATGTCATAGTTTCTGGAAATTGTTGCATGCAGTCTGCACAAAGCTTCCCCCACTGGGCTGAGTTCGGCATTCGGATTGGGATGTACGGACCGCGTTCATCAATCAAGTGTCGTGAAGGTTGAACGAATATGCTATTCTCGGCACTGCGTGCTGGGATCCGTTTGTCGAGGCCGCTCGCCGCACGATCCCGGCGAGCAGCAGGCTACAACCTCCTACAAGTAGGGCTCGCCACTGCTTTTTACATGTATTTCGGGGGCCTGTCCGCAAAAGCGTGCAGCTGTAAGATGAGGGCAGCCGGGCTACAGGCACCTGCAGATCTGTCACAAGGGCGGAGCTCAGCCCAAGGCCGGGTTCACCTCATGGAACCATCTCCACCTGCTACTGCAATCACTGCAAATGGCAGGTGAAGACGACTTGTTCTTTGGCATCTTGGATGCTTACACGAGTGTGAGGCAAAGCTCACCTTAGTAGGAGCTTGATCCACTGAGAGTTTGTTAGCGTTGGAGCTCCAGTATAGCTGGAGTCTCAACCCGCAGTAGCTTCGGACACACATGTGTGTCTCCACGAGCTACTTCTTAGTATTGACTGGAGCCGCAAACGAGCAGATGGTATGCCCACGGGTGCCGATGCCCAGCACAAAGAACGGGCCACATGTGTGATCCACTTGCTCTCAGCTGTTGGATGTTGTTTCACATCTTTTTGACAGCTTACTAGCCTTGGCTAGCCTTGGCGGGCCTTGGCGGTAAGGTTGAACATGTGTGACTCCATAAGCCTTGACCACTGAAAGCCCCACCAAGTTGCTTGCAAGGCTAGCACTTATGGTTGCTAGCGGTCTTAGCGGCTTCAAGCGGAAGTCTCCCGCAGAGTCAGTTGCTCGGAGCAAGGAAATCGTTTGTCAACGTGCAAAGCATGGCAGTGAACACTGTGCGGCCTGTGCGGGACTGCCCAGCACTCCCAGTGTGCTCGCCGCCCTTGTCATTTTTAGTGCTAACGCTGTTGCATGGCGGCTCTCGGATCGAGGACATCTTAGGTCCGAGGGGATAGAAAGGTATCCTCCTCAGCCAGTTGCAATGAAGATGCCGGGCGCGGGACACAGAATGTCACAGACATGCCTGGATAAGCCTCTGCGGATGTTGATGGGTGTTGCTACGGGTGCGACCATGCTGTATGTTGCGAATGCTGCGTGCGGTCCAAGGCCGCACGATTGGTGCCCTCTTTTTGGTCACGAGCTCAACTGCTCCTGGCAGTTTGTGCATCTGCCATTGTACAAATGTGTACAATAGCCCATGTGACTGCTTTCAACTTTCCAGCTTTTAAGGGTCGAAGCTTTCAAAAGGGCTTGGGGTGATGCGGGAGGGGCTTGGGGTGCGAGGGAGTGCAAGCGCCGTGCGTCGACCACCTCGGCTTGGCCCAGGGATTAGCAAAGCCCACTGGAGGTTTGTTTGGTCGCCGGAATGTCTCCGGGGTCTTAATGGGGGTCCCAGGATCAGTAGGCCAGAGGCTCAAGCTCCCATGGTCCTTGAGTTATCCCCCCTACTCCTTCCCCCACCGGCGATCTGTGTCAGGAGGGAGAAAGGGAACCCCTTTTTAGACCCTAATATTTTAGGTGTTCGTCGGCGCTTCAGCCGAGACGACGCCCGCAGGGCAACGGCCTCTTGGCTTTTACTTTGGGCGTTTAGGGCACTCAAGGCTTACGGGTATCTTCGGGGTTCAGGGTTTCAGGGCAGTTTAAGCCCTTTAGGCACACAAGTCACAAGGCACTGGGCTCTTGGCCGTTTAGCATTCTTGGCTTAAGTGAGCGACCTTGGGTTCCGAGTTCCGAGGTTACTGCAGCTGTTGCAGCATCACGCGTCGGATGCTCGGGAAACCTCACGGGACATCTCAAGACTCTGTACTTCATGATGAAATCTTTAATCCTGATTAGGCTTCGAGCGAGAGGTTACGAGCTCTTTCTCTGAGGACGCAACCACAGACGCCCCAGACGCTCGCAGAGGTTGCTGGAGCCCTTGGCTCCTTGGCCTTGGAGGAGCACCGGGGGCACTTCCCATATTGGTTCCACACGTTGCCAGAGTGACATACAGGAAATACAGAACTCTCAGAAAACACTTTCAATTTCACGTTTGCTTTCATCTTGCAAGTCGGCTTGCAGGGCCAGCCAGCAGATGAAGGAACCATTACAGCAATCCGTACCGTGATCACCTCGCCGAAGCCTTGGCCACATGTGGCTGTGACAGTGTTAACAGTGTAACGGCAAAGTGGCAACCGTGGTCAGGGTCCTAGCTACAAGCGTGCAAGGCTCTTAGAAACCATCTCCAATCAGCACAAAGCTGCCCAGACGGTGCCTTGGCTGCTGCCTGTTTTTAATGTCTGATTTCAACGAGACCTGCGCACGCGCCTGCCCATCTGCCAGGCGCTCAACAACCAGACCTTATTTCAGGTTTGCACCAGCGCCAAGGACGATGCGTTCAGTAAGGCACGGCTCATTGTTGCACGTGCGGTATCATGCAGCAACGCAACGAGACAGGCAAGTGCTTTGACCTCAACAACCACAATCACCACCACCACCACAGGACGATGGGTAACCTCGCAGAAAGAGCACGAGATCATGATCAGAAAGAGAAGTGTACCATGTCGATGTTCAGCGCAGGAGCACCCACCACAACCACAATCCATGCTGACCTAGCTGCCTGCAAGGCAGAAGTGCCTCGTCAGAACTTGTCAGACACAAGCAGAAGTTTTGCTTCGATGGGTAAGAGCATCTGTCAGGGTGCCGCTGGCAAAATGCGTTAGACGCCGAGAAGTAGCAACTGGCACTTCAGCTGAGGAGGCAGAGCTGCTTACGCAGAACCGCACTTGTCATGGAGAGCCTTGGCGAAAGCTTTCCCCGGACATCCTCGGACCCGCTGCCCTGCGACACTTCACACTTCAGCCCATCCTTGACCAAGGAGTTAGATGCCAGCTTGTCGGCGAAGCTGGCAACATGTGAGCTCTACGATGACATGAACTACATCAACGCAGGCTACAGAAGCATGCTAGTCCTGTCTCCAACGCTGCCACACTGCCAGACGATGTCACACATCATTCTGCAAACTGAAAGAAAGCCAAGAAATCTGCGTTGGTGACTGCGGGGACATGCTTGGGACAAGCTATTCATATCCATTCAACAGGTGCAGCACGCGCAGCACGCTGTGCCGATTCTGTGTCCTTCACTGGCACCGCACCCAGTTAATCAATTATTCCACATTTCGCATTGCCTGCATTGCAATTGTGAGGCACTTACGAGGAATACCTTGAGCGTGACATCCAAACACTTGCCGTGCTGCAAGCACGGAGCAAGAATTGCAGCGTGCCGCGGTGGCACTTGAATTGGGTAACCTCCGGAGCTGCGCGACAATGCACATGCATGCGAATGCTGTGTATTTGGGCCGGGCAGCTCAGGCCGCCGCATCCGTGTACGATGGCAAGGTCTCCGAGTGCGGAGGCATCTCACAGCGCGTGACCGACAAACTTCAGGAGCTTCTGCAGAACTTCTTGTGTACTTCTTGCGCAAGATATGCGTACTCTCAACACAGGAGTGCCTGGTCTTGGAAGTTCACCTGGCCGAGATCAATGCCCTTCCGAATGTGACTGAAGCCGCAAGCTCAGTGAGACCACGGGCACAACCGGGCATATAACCGACCAAAGCATATGCTCGGGTGCACCCGAGCCCCTCTCTTCTGCACACCAGAGTCAGAGTCAAATTTTGCCTCCAGCTCCGTTGGGCCTCCACATGGAATCCGCGACGGATCCGCGCAAGACGCGCAGGCTGCCGCCCCCACCACGGAGGTGACGCAGGCGTTCTGCCGGGCCCCCTTGAGATCCACTTCTCCCTTCGCGTCGCTTTGCATCAGGTATTGTAAGTTTTTGTGAAGCATTGCAAGCTGCTGAGGTGCGCCGTGGGCTGCGAAAGTCGCGGCCTGCAGTAACTACGACGCCTGCTATGCTTCGAAGGCAATACCACTGGAAGCACCACAGTCCCAACGCATGTTAAGACCGTGCCTGTACCCGGTGCAGGTGATCATGCAGGACAGCTCTTTCACCGCCGCGAAAGAACTGGCCACAAGCCGGCAGGCCTTCCGAACATCTGAGCCTGACACTGACGACCGCAAGATTGCAGTTGCCCTCTGCAGGCTGAATACCTCGCACTGAAGCGCATTGAATGCCTCCTCACTGTCACTTGGCATCACTTCTGGCAGCATGCCTAGCCGGGACCTACAAGCGTTTTGCCTGAATCTTGGTCCCTTCAGGTTTTGGAGTCCAGCGCGGCAGAGCAGCCAGACAAGCTGACTGCATCTTGACTGATCACCACATGCGCGTGCCTGCAGGGTAGTGTGAATCTCTCCCGCGGTCCATTGACTCACTCCCCCCCCTCCGAGCCCAGGCCCTCTATTGACTCCTGTGTGTTTAGTTTAATCGGACCCTGTGAGCTCAAGACCCTGCAGTCTCTAGCTTAACTAGGACTCCAGCCTCTGCAGCCTCTGGGTTTTCCAAAAAACGGGCTCTCAATTTAGAGGGCCAGGAGTGAAAAGATGCTTCACATCCTTCCGTAAGATACTCTAGAAATCCCTAACCCTAAAACCTAAACCCTAAAACCTAAACCCTAAACCCTAAACCCTAAACCCTAAACCCTAAACCCTAAACCCTAAACCCTAAACCCTAAACCCTAAACCCTAAACCCTAAACCCTAAACCCTAGGCCTGCGTGTCGGCCATCCACAACTCCAGCGCCTTCGAACTCGCCAAACCGGTGCAACCTGCACAGACGGTTTGCGCAGGGGTGCTCAGATGTGCCGTGGGTTTAGGGTTTAGAGTTTAGGGTTCAGGGTTTAGGGTTAGGGGTTAGGGGTTAGGGTTTAGGGTTTAGGGGGTACACATCCTGTCCAGGTGCGCATTGTTTGCAAAGGTTTTTAGAGTATCTCTGTTGTGGGCTTTGCCGGGGGGCTTGGAGCTTTGCTGTGGCATAACCAGTCTCCAAGGCAAACGCCTCGAGATAGTTAGAACTCATCCTGCAGCAAACATGGCAATCTGATGATGCACCACAAGATTCCACACACTCTACCCAGGATCCGGGGATCAAACCCAACGGCTGCGTGGCTTCGCGGTAGTTCTGCACCTTCTCGATCTGCAGCGTGCGCAAGAGTCACAACAGATGCAGCATGTTGGCACAACCTACAAGGATAGAAGTTTCATGAGGTACGCACAAAGTTCAATAACTTAGCAGGTCTTAATCTTTGATTTTTCCTATTCCATGATTTCAAGGACATCGTATTGCTTATGATGGTTTTCGGAAGATTCCGTCTGCTGTTCCGACAGAACTATTCGTCCTTCAATGACTATTTCCTGGTAAATCATGGGTTCCCTTTTCCAATATTCTCATTTCTGATTTCACGACGAAGGTACGTTTCGTAATCTCAAAT